ACAGCCAATCCAGCCATCCATTCATTTTCTCACGCCTATCTAGCCACTTGTTTTAGCTCTTCAAGGGGGATCCCAAGGTGTTCTCAGGCCAGCTAAGAGACAAGGTCTCCCCAGTGTGTTCTGGGTCACCAAGGAGTCGTCCTAATCAGATGGCTGAGTCACCTCATCTGGCTCCTCTCGATGTGGAGAATCAGTGGCCCAGGCTAATCACCCTATTTATAAGAGAGACTCCGGCCACCCTCAGACCTAATCGAACGGCTTGTATCCCTGATTTTTTCGGTCATGAACCATAGCTCATGACCATAAGTGAGGATGAGAACGTTATCGAGCGATAAATGGAAATGTAGAAACAGAGAATGTAAGAATTTATTGCAGAATGATGATGTAAGAAGAGAGAGGGTGGATGTATATTGAGTGGTGAAAATTAAACGGGGCCAAACTTTCTTGCTCCACAAAAGAAGTATGAGTCCTCGAGTACTTTTTCTTTAACGAAGAGTGTTTTGGAACCCATACGTTTGATACGCTACGTTAATAACATGCACACAGACACACAAATCTTTTTAGTTTTTGTCCCATTTCCCCTCTCCACCCTGTTGTTCCGACGTTGGAGGTGCTGATTCTCACGACAACTGCTTCACACTCCATCTTGACGAAGCCAACAGAACTACATCTACTAAAAGCAGAGACGTAACACTGAGGCTACCAATTCGGACCCTTCAATGCCTTGCCAATAAATTATGAACAGAATCTGGAGGAGTCCAACCCGCACTGGAAACAAATTTACTCTGAGCAGTATGAACATAACTCTTGCTGAGGTTGTACAGTTGGTTCACTGTTCCACAGCCAGGACGAAAACCATTTCTTTTCCTGAATCTGAAGTTCGACTTCTTGACTGACCCTTTGGAAGCACACACTAACATATTTGGAAACCACCAATCTATTTTCTTTGCATTGTTAAATATTTGCGCCCATATATATATATATATCCACCGTATTTTCCACACTAAAAGAAGCACTGGATTATGAGGCGCACCTTCAATGAATGGCCTATTTTGTCATTTTTTTCAAATATTGGATGCACCGGATTATAAGACGCAATCTACAATGCATCCACTTGATAGAGCTTCGCTCAAGGAAATGCAAACAGAAGGATCAGATGCCAGTAAAATGTAGCAGACTGGTCTCACACCTGTCTCAGAAGTGTTTGTTATTTATTCCTTTATTGTGTATTCACAAACGAGGACATCACAAAATAAATTCTGTAGGGGGGCTATATATTCATTTTGTGATTTCCTTGCTTGATTTTCTGTTTCAATGCATTATTTTCAATTTTTGTAGTTTCATTGAAGTAATCGTGAATTTACGTTTTTCGGAGGCGGTCATGAACACCTCTCGAGTCGAACGGAAGAAGAGAAGGCACGGAGATGGACAAAGAAGTCCCTGTATTTGTTGAGACTGTGAAAATCATTAATAAAGTGTGCGTTTTAAAAAACAACACCACATCTCTCCTTTTTTCGGAGCTGCAACAAAAGCTTGTTTAGTAAAGCAGCGACACAGTTCACCGACCCAACAGCAAGTTATAACATTGACTCGTTAACGTTGAACTCTCTTGCAGCTGTTTCTATTTCCGTGTTCTATTGCATGTCATTTTGAGGTCGACCAGATTTTAAGGCACGCTGTGAGCTTTTAAGAAAATGGAAGACTTTTAGGTGCGCCTTTTAGTGCGGAAAATACGATATATATATAAATCACAGTGCATGCATACATTAGAAAAACATATATTGTTTTGGTACTTACCTACTCTATATTCTTAATATGGAGTAACAATTTATAATGTTTAGATCACAGGTGACAAACTCGAGGCCCAGGGGCCAGATGTGGCCCGCCACATCGTTTTAAGCGGCCCGCACATGCAAATCAAAGATGACAACTTCCATGATACTTGCCCAAATGTGTACCGAAATTTCAAATTTTCATATGTAATAAATCAGTGACATATTGTAAGCATTTTCTTGTTACCAAACCCCGCATTACAGTTACTTAAACAATAGTTGAATAAAACGTTACTCCTGACTGAGTTTGGCACCCCTGGTTTAGGTAAAATTACACACCTTTTCATTCCCATTTGTTCCCCAACTAACTCACATACCTGTCTAGAGTAGAGCAAGGCGATATAATGGCATATATTTTTCTACTATCATGTTATCATCAATTGTCATCTGCAGCAAACTCTCTGTAATTAATACGTCACATGTAGCTTGATTTTTGATGGGCAGAATCTTGCATTTATCAGTCGTATGCCGGACCGGTCTGGCAGATTGAACAACAGTACAGGGAAGTGAATCACAATACGTGGTCACCATAAAAGACAACACAACGATGCAAGATTAATTCCATAGCAAGTTTAAAACAACTTGCTAACCATGTTGCTCTTTCACAGTTTCCATCATATGCTCAACTTCTTGCAAGTATCCTTCGCAGCAAGGTATCAGGAGGAGTAATTAGCAGAGGGAAAGCCGGAGAAGCCATGCTAATAGCGAAGCTAACGTAATGTCATTGTGAAAGACTGGAATTAAAAGTGCTTGGGTGACTGAGTGTACACTTCATTGAAGGAAAAAAAAAGTTATTTTATTTCTTTTGAATCAATTTCTGTCAGTGGCATTATTTTTTTGCCCCTTATTTAGATTAATATCTGCAGTTGTGCAAAAAGATCTGGCTGCTTTGCTTTGGTTTACATTTGCTAACTTTATTTAGCAGCACGACTGAACGCATTAATCATTGGATCCAGGTGTGTTTAATGTCACTTCACAATAAATTGAGAAAAGGTAAGCAGTCATAGTGTGTTTGTATTTATATAAATTTTTTTTAGCATAACTGAAAATATATTGTGGTATATCGTCTTCGTAATGGTTTCATGTTGGCATTGTGTCGTGTTCTGAGCCTCCACCCTCTGTTGACAAAGGTTCGCTACATTTGAGCAGAGCATATATGTCCGCTATTACTGTTCATCGAATGTTGTGTGAGTGAAGAATGTCGGTGAGGGCCCGCTCTAGAGTGCGTCTAAACATACTGGTTGACGTTACATACATGCCTGCAGTATTCCTCATGTACCATGGCAAATATGTTAATTCCGAAAAACATGATAACTCTTTGTGTTTTTCCTAAGTATTCCTAACATTTAAAAAAGGTTTTTACAAGAGCGCTCCCACAACCGAACTCTAAACAATAGAATCTCCTTCACTGCAGCTGTAATGATAGTGATTAATGAAGATCAGCTGTGTGTTGTTCTAATGAGGCTTCCCATAAGCCTACAGACCATTTTATGGCGGGAAATGGTGTTCGTGCATTCTTTGTCTCCCACATAAAAACACTTTCATTGTTGTGTAAAATCCGTGTTGGTATTATTGGATCCAAAAAGCTATTAATTAACTGTAGCTCTTCAGGCATTAGGCAGCAGCAGTCTAGAAGGTATCATTTACTTATGGGTTACAGGAACTGTAAAATGGTCGTTTCATTTCATGCTGTGGTGCGGGCACTTCCCAGGATCTCCTGTCTCAGGTCTTGTTTGATGTTATTTTGTTGCTTTTCTTCTTGCGTTCATTTTTTAAAAAGGTTTTCCATGCTGTATTCATTTACAGGTGTGCACCATATCTTCCCTACGTTTCACACTCCCATCCCAGTCGACATGCGACACCACGAGGGGCGGTACCATTACGAACCGCACCCCCTGCACACCATGCATGGGTGAGTTTTCTTCAGTTCCTTTTATGCTGCCCGTAAAAGACTCCTTTAAACTAGATTTATCTGGACTCACTGTTCTGTGTGAAAGCCACAGATTCGGAATGGGTGTTCTCTCCAGAAGTAGAGATGTACGAAAGGGGATAGTGGGAGCGGGGTGTGAAAGTTTACGGTCAAGACTTACCTTCCCCACAGATATAGTGTTGACACTCATGAGATGCTGGCGCAAACATGCGCAAGGGATTGTCCAACTCCGTTGGAATCTGCCCAAAGCTGGCCAAGCTATGTTGAAAAAAAGAGTCAATAAAGTTCAACAAATTACCTTTTTCAGTAAATGTAATCATTTTACATTGTAGTGGAATGTGCAGTTGCACACGTTTTATGGTACAAAAACCCTTCATGTTTCCTTGTCTGTAAATACCGAATGCAAACAACTAATGCTATAGAAGACAACAGGGGCTTTTTTTGAACCAGACACACACAAATAAATAGCGGTTCTGTTATCTCTCTGTTGTCTCCAGTCAGAATCTACAGAAAGACAATGAGTTTTTCATTGAACCTGTTCAATTGTTCCACTAACTACTGCAACTGTCAATTAAGGATTAGAATTCATACACATAGAGCAGTAGTTCCAATGAGGGCTGGTTCTAAAACTTTTTGTATGACCTAAATCAGGGGGCTCAAACTCATTTTAGTCGCGGGCCACTTTGGAGTTAGATCTTCCCGCAGAGGGCCATTATGACAGTGAAACCACAAGAATGTTTCATCGACTCATTGCATTATTACTTATGCACAACAAACTTAATGGATTATTAGTTTTGAAATCAGTCAACTATAATAGTTTGCTCAACTATTGTTCAAGTGAGTGTCAAGGGAAACAACATTATTGCAAAATCTAGACGTTATTTATTACACATGGCCATTAGACATTTTGGTACAGATTTTAGCAAGGATAATGTAAGTTGACACACATGATTTTTCTTCTGCAGGCCACATAAAAATAGGCGATGGGCCGGATCTGGCCCCCGGGCCTTGCTTTGACACCCATAACCTAAATTAAATGGATACTTTATTTAATGATGTTACATACGATGACAACACAGTAGATGTTCAGTCATCTGAGGCCCTCAGATGTTATAGATAGAATATAATAGAAAGCATATTTGCTTTACTCATTGTGTTTTGCTCAATGTGGTGCTTTTCAGACAGAAAAGACCCGATTATCACCTTCGTCCAGCTGTTCTTCTTCTGAGTGTCAAATACGACCATGTTGTGTCATCTTGGCAAAAAAGGGCAGGATGTCTGTGTAAGGCATTTGGTCAAAAACTTTAGCAGCTGTCGGCTCCTTTGAGGTTAATGGGTTCTAGGTCCTATGAGACATCAAAAAAATAGAATGTCGGCATGTAACATAATGAGTGCCCAAGGCAATTGTTCTGAGTTGTCATCAAGCAAGATGACGGCGGTACCTGCTGTTTTGTTACTGTGGTTGCTGCTCGGCTGAACATGTTTTGGCGCTAACCATTCCAACATTTCTCTGGATGCCAGATTTGCTATCCAACTTACTGTATTCATGTTCGCAGTTGTGAACTCTTTTCCAAATCTGTTGCACAATTACTTTTCTCAGTTTTCATTGACAGGTTTCCCATGGGTTCTTAAAGTTCATAAAAAATCCACAAAAAAAAGTTGTAAAATGATGTTCTTAATTGTCCTTAATTTTCAGGGAAAGCTTCTAAAATCAATAAAAATCCTTAAAAATTAACCTGTGGTGTTCATTTCTTTTGTGTATGTCATTTTCCCCACCCTTCCAATTCATAGTTTAGTCAGAAAATTGCGCCTGCTGCCCTTCCCCTCAAACCCCGCTGTCGGGCTACACGCCTTCCTGGTTCCCGCTCTGCTTTTCACGCCGTCTCCGATCAGTTCCAATGATGATCACGTGATCACTTTGGGTCATTTCGGGCCAATTTGACATACAGTATGTCAAATAAAGGGTTAGCTGATTGTCCCTAAAAATAAAGATATGCCCTTCCTTTGGCAGCAATGATTTGAACACCAGCTCAGTGATATGTGGCTTTCTGTTCATTAAATCCACCGTGAATCCCCTGCCGAATGGAGAAAAAGTCTTTAAAAAAATGGCTAAATTAGCCCTCAAAAATCCTTGAAAGCTCCATAAATAAAAAGCAAGTGGAAGAGTGGGAACCCTGATTAGAGGCGTTGATCATCTGCATGACAGTGGAAATGAACAAAATGTTTTCTAATTACACCAACTGAGTTTTACACATACAGAATCTTTGGCGAAGACATCAGCATCAAGGGTATATTTTTATTTATTTATTGAGCACATTAATTAATGACTAGTGTAATTTTGATGATTATTTTAAAACTTCTCACGGTGCCACAAAATAGCCAATCAGAGACTAAATAGAAAGGAGGCATGACCAAAGGGTCTTGTCATTCATTCTCAGGCAAGATATGCTCAGCAGCAGCCTCAGGTTTCGATTGTACGTTCCAAAAAATACAACATCCAAACACTAACTTTTAGGGTACTATTTTCATAGACAGCGCATGTGCGCCTTGGCGCAAATACCGGCAGTTCTTGATTTTTGTATCAGCGCAAGACCCGCTGTGCATGTTTGCTGATTTGGAAGACCGGTCTCTGCCAAGTTGAACAGGCCGTGTAGCCGGAGTAGTGTCTTGGAGTTGGGCCTGGCAGAGCGACAATTTGGTGGCAGAAAGTCGATCTAAACCTTACCATATGCTAATCAGTCCACATGTAAATGGCTGGCACAGGGTACACAGCTGCTTGTGTGTCTTCAGGCAACTTCAGGAAGATCATCTCATGTAATGATGAACCATTTGCCCGGGCTCATTTCTTCAGGCATCTTAGAGGCAAACCCGCAAGCCAAGAAAAGTTGCCACGCCATGCCCCCACCATGTTTGACCAGTGGTCACTATCCAAACTCCAGTTCTCTCTTGCCATAACCTCAACAGTATTGCAGGAGGTTAAGAAAAAATAGGATCTCCTGTTCATTCTACAGTTGACATTCATGCATTTTAGTAAGCAGTCACTGAGGAAAATGCACTACTGAAAAGCTGAAATATGTTTAAGGTTTTTGTGTGTAAGTGCTGTGGCCTAACCCACCCTAGTACACAAACAGATGTTGTCCCTCTCACTTAGTCAAAGCCAGTGGCACCACACAGGATTATATACTGTGTGTTGATGAGACATTTTGGTTGGTTTATTTCCCCACCTCAGTGGTTTGGTTAACTTGTAAAGGAAGCATAACATGTCTCACTTTATGCTCTTGCATGTTGGATGCAGGACCAACTAACTGTCAGTGTTTACTGTATGTTGGAATTTGACTGCTGTGGTGATATATTATCAGGAATTTGCTGTTCTAATAGTCAAAACGACTTCAATGCTACAAGTGGATAAAAAAAGATTCCGTTTTCTCGTGTCCAAAAATTCTCTCTGAGAGACAAGACTAATTATTGTGGATGTTGCGGTTGTTTCACATCGTGTGGAAAACAATTTCAGCTAGACCAACATGGTTCTTATTTCGCAATGAAGCCTTTTTTGTCAGGGAGATGTGTGTCGAATGAACATTTGTTTGTCATTGAATGTTCTTGTGATTATAATCTGCAAAAATGTGATACAGATGATCAATTGAGTCAGTGTCACTTCCTGGGAACCAACTTAATATAATACAGCCATACAGAAACTCGAATTAGTTCATCAGCATCCAAGAAAATGTGAGCTGTTTAAAATTAGACTCTTTGTTTCCCTTCCTTAAGTCATTTGCTGAAATGAATTCATTTTGTTCCCAAGGTGAAATGACGCAATCGCTCCCTCGTCCTGAACACTGGCATGCTCTTACTCGTTATCCCTGAGCTCAACAAGCTGTGCCATGTCCAAATGTCTTTCTTTTCCCAGCAGTTTTAACAATTGGAACAACTGAGCATGGGATTTAACGGATGTCAGAGACAAATAGCAGTTACTGTCTTCAAAGCATGCCCTGCATTAACAAACGCAAGATGACTCTGTCGCTCTCTCATGTTACCTCCATCCATTGCAGTACAGACAAACAATTTAGATTTTTAAATGAGAAACAAGTTGTATGACCATTCTTAAATTTCTCACTATATACATATTTTTTTTCCTGTGTGAGTAACCACCCATTGTGTTGAGGTATGGTGGGTGTTTCTATAAATGGCAGCTGCTGATTAGGAGACTGTTGCTCTTCAAGGGCTCTGACGTCCGCAAACAGCCTCCCATTCAACCTCTGGGATTGAAGGCTCTGGAATTTCCACTGACTTCAAGTAACATCTTGTCAGAAAGGTTTCAATAATGGTTCCTACCAGACAAGACTATTATTTGAAACCTCCTGACAGGCAGTTGTAAATGTCACCTTATTACCACGGTTTCATACCAGCTTTTGAGTGATTTACTTGAGTTTGTGTGCATCAACATGTGGGACAGCTACCAGCCAAGAAACAAATAATAAACACAGCTTCAAAGCAAAAAAAAAAAAAAAATCAAGCAAGAGTTCCCTTTTTTTGTGCCTTGCTAACTCATTTCGCATTGGGTTGGGCTTTTGGGCGGCCTCGCAGCAATGATTCTTCATTTAAGTGGGTTTCCATTTTTATGCGAAGTGCAGATTTGCACAATCAAGTAAGACTGAATGGTAAGCTCATTATAGTATTTGGGATGAATACCCTCCCCCCCCAAAAAAAAATGTCAACAGTTGATCATCGGATGTTCATTTCAACACCGGGAGACCTCACAGTCCTGTACATGGTGATGAAATGCTGAGTGAAATACAATACAAATTCTAAATACTATAGTCTCAAAAAAGTGAAAAGAAAGGTAAAGTTTTTTTTTTGTTTTGTTTTTTTAATGGTAAAGAAGAGAAAAGTGGTAGGTGTTTGTTGCTCAGGTGTGCACTGAGTCACGTGATTCATCTTGCAGACAGGAAGCAGAAACATCCTTCTCAGGAATGCCAATCTGTACAACATTGCTGCTTATTGGGCTTGATATCAATGGGCCCTTTACTGGTCTGTCAGTGTTGGAGTTCAAGGAACGTGTGAAAATAATATATTACATTTTACATAAGGAGTAAGGAGTTGTCATTTTATTAGTGCCCGAGTTCAGTAACGCGTTACAATTCGAGCTGTGACGCAGAAGGAAATCTTGAATAAACACTGTAGGGGCAGCCGAAAATAAAAAGAATTTGCAGATGCAGTACATACCTCATCAGACTGTACAATTATTGAGAACTGAAAAGTAACTTAAAAGTAATAAGTAAGTTATTCATTTAAACAGATAATATTGTAAAGCAAGTGATTACTCTTAAATGCAAGAAACTAGCAATATGAAATATATTACATATTGGAAGTAACTTGCCCAACACTGTTGTCCTTGTTATTGAACGGTATTGTTCGTTAAAAAAATGTTTATACAGTGAAACTCCTCTACAACGAAATCATGTTTGCAGCAAGAAATTTTTCACAACAGGGGGGTTTTCACTGTAGCAAATTTGATCTCAGATGTAAACACACACACACACACACACACAAACGTATGTGTACACGCACACACAAACGATCAGCATTCACTTTCACTTACATCAATTTCTTGGATAATGTCTTTTATTTAGTTTCCTCCGTCTTTCATTTTGATCATTTTTACCCTCTAGTTTCCTCCGACTTTCATTTTGATCATTTTTACCCTCTCATCCAGCATCAGGATCTTCTTGTCTTAGCTGCTTGACATCCAAAGGTCCGTTTTGTAGCAATTTTAGCAATGCAACGTTCTTGCTGCGTCTGAAGCTAACAATAACAAATAGTTCCTGGACTACTGCGCATGTGTAAACCAGTGTGGTCGTTGCTGTTGCCATTTCCGAACGAAGCAGTAGAGGTCGCTGTTGGATTAGACTTCGTTGTAGTGAATCTCGTCGCGAGACAAGAGCAGCAAAAAAGATTTCGTATAACGCAACAGGAGTTTTTTTCGTTGTATGAGGGGCAGGAAAGTGGGAATGGTGTTAATGCTGAATATTTTTTTCACACTAGGGGGTATTTTCGCCCATGTAGGTTTCGTTGTAGAGGAGTTTCACAGTAATTAAAACACTACCGTGTACCTTGTTCAAAATACAAGAACAGCAAATGTGAAAGTCTATGAAAGTATTTTAAACATTGCATTAATATAGAGCGATTTCCACTTTAGCAAATGGAACAACTGAGCTCTCGTCTGTGGATGCAGTGTCAAACTTTCTGTGTGCAGCTTTGATTTGAAGCGAAGGAAGTGTGTTTTTATATATGGGGTGAATGTTTCTTCTCACTTCTACCCTCTCATTCAGGACAGAAGGCTCTTTATGGTTGTTTCTAGGGGAAGAGTGGGCCCAATGGCAGAAAGTTGGCTCTTAGACAAGGCCAGCAGTCTGCAGACGCTTACTGGAAAGAGCAAGAGCCAAAGCTCGAGGTTGGTTGGCCCGGCCTGAAGTTAGGAGGGCTTTGCTGGCTGTGGGTTGGCGTCTGTACATACATGGGTCAATGACAAACTGAGGAGGGCAGCTGATGAGTGGAGGGATGGACGTAGATAAAGGGGCTACTTGCTTGGCCCACCTTTCACCATCACAGTCCATACGTACAGTGCAAGTTGCGCTAGCAGCATTCCTTTTCATCAATGCTCATCTCTCTCTCTCTCTCTCTCTCTCTCTCTCTTCACCATCACAGTCCATACGTACAGTGCAAGTTGCGCTAGCAGCATTCCTTTACATCAATGCTCATCTCTCTCTCTCTCTCTCTGTGTGTGTGTGTGTGTGTGTGTGTGTGTGTGTGTGTGTGTGTGTGTGTGTGTGTGTGTGTGTGATTATAAATAATCAGTGTCAAACTCATTTTTGGGCCACTTTGGAGCTACGTCTTCCTTTGGAAGGCCATTACGAGTGAAACCAAATAAATATTTAAGCATCACATCTTATGATTACTTGTACACAACCAATTGATGGATCACTAGTTTTGAAAGCAGCCAACTATTGGTTGTTGTTTGTTCAATTATCGTTCGAGTGATTGTAACAAAAACAGAGTAACACCATTTTTGCTAAATCTCAACGTTATTTATTACACTTGACAATTTGACATTTCGGTACAGTTTTGAGCAAGGATCATGAAAGTTGACACGCATGATATGCTTTCACGGGCCACGTAAAATGATGTGGCAGTCCACATCTGGCTCCTGGGCCTTGAGTTTAACACCAGTGATATACAGCGTGTGTGTGTGTGTGTGTGTGTGTGTGTGTGTGTGTATATATATATATATATATATATATATATACAGGTATATATACACACATTTCTGAACAAAGTGCTGTTCAAACTGGATGTTCACTTTTAATTGAAACTGGTTTATTTGCAAGTCTCTGACATTGATATATCTGCTTTACAACTTCAAGTTCATTTTGGGTATAGTATGCTGATCTCCATAATTCATCTCAACGAGAGCCTTTTAGCAATACCAGGTGTTGTTACCACACGCAGGCGAGCAACAGGCTGCTTATCAGTGCTCAAGAACACGATGTCGACAACTGGTGGAGCCACTGCCAGCGGCCAGGCACTTAACTTGCAAGTTTTTCCCCTCGGCAGAAGCAGTATTCAATCACTCTTGCATATTCTTTGGTAAAAAGAGCTTCTGCTGAGCCAATAGACATGATGACTTCAATGTATAGTTCACTGAGATTGGAGGGCTATATGAGAATTCCACCTGTTCTGCTGAAGTTCGTCAGAGGCAACTTCAGAAGAATTGTATCATTCACATTGTAAAGCCTGGTGTGTTTTGCCAAACCACACACGACTTCCTGACACAGAGAGGAAAGGCTTTTGTCTTGACTTGTCTGCACCTTCACTGCCTAATAAGAGAAGGTGAACAAAAAAGGATTATGGTACTGTGTATTAGCTTGAGAAACTGTTGAAAGGATAGCATGGAAGCAGACACAGACTGGAAATATTTGAGTCATATATCTGTCATTTTACCAGAAATCAGTCTGAGCTCAGTACAGTATATCTTTTCACCTCCGCATTTTATCACATTGTCTCCGTTTGTCAGCAGTTTATCTGAAATTGTCATTTTCTTGTCAGCCACTTTCACTCCGTGCCGCCAGTAAATTTGTGCAATTGAAACATGGCTGAATGGGACTTATTCTTCGTTCCATTTCAGACAGAACTAACCAAAGCGGACATTTCCTTGGCCAAAGTGAACATTTAGAGAGCCTATGCCGGTTTATCAATCAACATAATTTGGTGTGTGGCGATATCACTTCGGCAGCAATAATTGGTTTCCGCATGGACATTGAGTCTGTAGTCAAATTTCACACTGTGGTTGTAACTTGCAGCGTTCCTCCTCTGACGCGACATCAGATGCCCTTTAACCTCTGATCCCACTGTGGTCGATCACACACAGGACAATGAGCAGTAGTGAGCCAACTGGGCCAGCAAAGACTTCTCTGCTGGCGTAAATGCTATCAGAAACACTGATCTATATTTACAATCGAAATGTTCATATTGTTCCATTTTCTCTTGGCTGTACTTCTTCAAGTACATGTATTGATGTTGGAGTTGTTGTGTGTGCCGACATAACGTGAACTATTGCATGTTATCCATGGGATATTTTGTTCAACCAATCAGATGTCAAATTTGTCACTCTGGGCCAGCTACCTGGCAAACAGTTACATCATCATTTTCTCTGATTGGTTGGTTAGAATAAAACTACCTGCAGCGATATTCCACAAATTAATACATTTAATAATCAGTAACTCTGGTGAATGTGATGCAATTGACTTTTATTTATTTATTTATTCGTCATTTAGTTTGTTTATTTATTTATTTATTTTAAACATTGTGTGTTTGTCATTGAATTTTAACTACTGCAGTTATTGGACATGGGACAATTGTGTGCTGTTGTATTGTTTATTTATTTATTTTTGTGTAGTATTGATGCTTTCTATAACTGTAGTATGATTTTGGTGTACAGTGGACCCCAGCTATTCGACAAGTATAGGGACCCAGCCAGCCTGGGAATATTGAAAATTCATAAATAATAGATATCCATTCAATTGCATTAAAAATAATAGCAACAAAAATGATGGCACTTTTTTAACCCAAAATATTCTTGGAAATGTGGGGATATACTTGCAATAAGAGCTTTCTCCCCAGCCCAAAAAATAAAATAATGTATTAAAATAAAAAATACAAAAAATTTTAAGAACAAAATCCGGAAATATGCCGGGGTCAACTGTACTGTATTATGAAGCGGATTAAGTCATGTAGAAGAAGACGAAGGTTCGAAATGCATGGCCTGCCATTGACGGAAAAAAAGCAGTGAAGATGCTGTCTCAGATAGCCTGTGTGTTTCCTCTCACCACAGCGGAACAGGACTAACTGGCAGTCCAGTCATCTCAGACATCTCCTTGATTCGTCTATCACCTCATGCACCGGCCGGGCCTGGTGAGTCTCCATTCAGCCCTCCACATCCCTACGTCAGCCCCCACGTGGAGCAGTACCTACGCTCAGTACATGGAAGCCCCACGCTCTCCATGATCTCTGCAGCACGAGGACTGAGCCCTGCCGAAGGTGAGACGCACCAAACACCTGCAACGTAGAATGAAAGAAAATAGAAAAATAGCTCAATGAATTTTGCATTCATTTATTTTAATCACCTCCAACACCCAAGTTTCACATTGTCACTCTGAAACCCAAACTTAATGAAATCCACATATTCCTAGAACAGTATACAATATACAGAGTCCAAGCAAACATGAATGACCGCAGCAAATACTCATTACAACAAACATCATAAAAAAGCAATTAGCCAAAGCGTTTTACCTACTTAATGAGAAATCAAAGCTATTTTCCAGTCATTTCCGTGTCTTGTTTCTGCTTTGCTATCCAAGAAAACGTTCCCACTTCCATGTTTATTATTTTTGGGGAGCCAAGGAAACCACAGATCTATGTTTATTGTAATTCACTGATTAGCCTGGGCTAATATTGCTGTCGGGCTTGTGGTCAATATTCAAACGGGTTGAAGGAAAAAAGAAACTTTTTTTTTCTCATTATCAATTTTGCAACGATACAACATTGCAGTACTCTTGCTGTGTGTGTTGATAAGGTCAGACACAGACAATCCAAAGCCAAAAGTCACACTGTGTAACTGGATTATGACTGTTGAGGCATAGACAACCAGTGTGATGTACAGAACTGTTATAGGTGCTGATTGATCAAGATTTTTAGTTCATCTGCATAGCCAATGTCTTTTGTGTAATAGAGCAAGGGCAAGAGGGATCAGGCTTTACATATCCAGTTTCCTCTGTGTGGTCCTCCTAACCCCAAATCCATTGACATTCTACCATCATGCATATTAATCCATCAAAGCCCACATCCCTGTCCACAAACACATCACCAATGGGATGTGACAGGAACTGGGAGAAAAGGGAAGGCAGACATCAAATCACGTTGCTGTGATGCAGAACCCAACCATGCTTCAGCCTGAGGGCATGAACTGATGGCTGAACATTGTCCCTCAGGATTTTGTGGTAAAAAGCAGAATTTGTGGTTCCAACAATCCGAGCAAGTCATCAAAGTCCTGATGAGGCAAAGCAGTCCCAGGTTGCTTGATTGAACAGGTCTGCAAGTAATCAGGTGTGGGTGTGGTTAGAGAGTGAAAATGAAGTCAGCAAGGGGGGTAAGTACTTTTCCACACAGGGTCAGGTATCTTGGAATATAGGGGAAACCCTGAATAAGTAAAATCACCATTTGGATCAGGGGTGTCAAAGTCAAATGGATGGAGGGCCAGATAAAAAATTTTGCTGCAAGCCGAGGGCCGGACTGATCGAATGTTCATTGAAAATTTTAAAAATGACCACATATTGTTTATTGAACCAAATTTAATTGACTGAAAACCTAACAAATACATTCCAATGTGGTCAGATAAATAAAGCAAATTTTTTTTATGGCTATGTCAGTAAACTTTAATTTTCAACAGGCACAAAAAAATGTCCTTTGTATAAAAATACCCATATCATGAATGAAAGAAGCCGATATTATTCAAGGCAGTTTCAATAGTCCATATTTTCTCTTTTAGCAAAAGTAGGCTAAATTTACTTCAAAGAAAAACAAATAATAGTACAGTAATTTTCGATCATTTACTCGAATAAAATATTTTTAAAACATAATTGGATTGAAATACAATAAAATAAAGTGCAAAAATGTATAAACCAAAAACAACACTTTCTTCAAGGAGAAGTAACAAGCAGCGAAAGCAAATATTATACTTTAATTTTTAAACTTGAACTGAGTAAAAACTCTTAATATGTGATTGCACAGTATTTTATAAGTAATATTCACTTCTTTGAGGCTGAGGCTGATACTCGGTGGTGTCTTAACTTTTCTACAAGTTCATCAATATTTGGGGTCAGCTCTGAGCTGAGCAAATCCTCAAAATTGAGTGAGGGTGTTCAGCAGTAAATCGACTTCTGTGTGATGTTTTGTTCAGCTTCATCAAAGAAAAAAGTTGTTCACACACGTATGTGCTGCCAAACTTTCGACAACGTTTGAGCAGCCGGGATGCGCAGCGGGACCACTGTGTCGGGGAGGAAACCGTCAAACTGCGCAGCACGCACTGCCGTATCTTTGCAGAAACACTGCAATTGTGTTTCTGCTAATGCTCACGTTTAAAATTACACTATTTCAATCGCGCCACACTTTCTCCGCACAGAAGACACACAGGTTTTCCAGCTACGTCCATGAACATGTACTTCGACTCCCACCTTGTTTGAAACCCCCGGTTCTCAGTGTCCACCTTCCGTTTTGCCATTTTTGCTGGGTATCTGAAAGCTAATGTCACTGTTATGGGAACGATTGCTAGACTAATAAATATTTAAATAAAGCGGCCGACTGCTTGGCGCATCACCGTTGCATTGTGGGAAATGTAGTATTGGTGCCTGTAAAAGATCTGCGGGCTCTCGGCTTGCTGCGGTCCGCGGGCCGGTTCTAATAATAAATCAATATCATCCCAGGGGCCACTGAAAACATTCTCGCGGGCCGGATTTGGCCCGCGGGCCGGCACTTTGACATGTGTGATTTAGATAGTAAAACGTTTACTTGGGTTGTCTTTGTTTGATATTTACATTTGATAAATAATTATAAACATTAAAGTAGCATAACTAGGCAAAAAAAAGATTTTGAGAAGAAGGCAAATACATTTTCATGGCACTGTATTTATTTTAGGAAAGCAACTGGCAAGCATTTGGGGACAGTGTCATGGAAAAGGAAGAAACCTCAAACAGACCTCAAGCCGGTGGGGTTGAGGTGGGGAGACTGAGAACAGGGACAGTGGGTAGACATACTTGTTTTGATTTACTCAACAACAAAATAACACCAATCTTTGAAAAAAAATGAACTTGGGAACAGTAAACTGGTGAATGGAGAGTTTTTAGCCTGCTTCTGGATTACCTGTGAAGGTGCTGGCCCATCACTGTGACATGTCTCCCTTACCTGCATGAATGTGATAAAGTTCTTTTGTGATGCAATGCTTGAAACAAAATATGTATTACACAAAATTTGATTTTCCTTTGGGGATTAACATTACTATGACGAAAAATAATTTCTTCTTTGTACTGCTTTTTTCAGAGGTTGAACTTTGAGGTTTCTGCCCTGACCTTGATTTTTTGTTTCCCATTCGTTCTGTAGTTACCCATGAACACCTAAAAGACCGGGCCCTATTCACACTCCCTCCACCACCGCCAGGGGCCAACCCCACAGAATACTACCATCTGATGGCCAGTGCTAGTCAGCGAAACCCATATGGTGACCTTTTGATGCAGAGCGGTGCAGCAGCAGCGGCAGCAGCAGCGGCTGCTCATCTACCGGATTACATCAGTCCAGTGGATGGTAAGAACAACTCCACTCACTTTCAGGTGGGGTTAATGAGTCAATAGGTGTTTTTATTTTGCTGCAGTTTTATTCAGTTATTTGGTGTCTAATCTTGTTTGGAGAGCAACTTTGGCTGTTGAAAGTACAACATTTAAAAATGTTAAATTATAAAATCCGTAATTGCAGCTATTGAAATAGGTTTTATTGCTGTTATACGGCATCCATACGGAGTTGCCAGTATTTGTGTGTGCGTGTGTGTGTGAGTTCACAAACTTCACGCCACTATAAATAATACACATCCTGAAACTTTAACTTCATTATATTCAAGTTTGATTTATATACTCCTTTCATAGATCAATGTATCAAGTTGTCTCAAGAATGTTTTACATTACAAAAACAGGAAAGTAAAAGAAGACCCGCTCGGTCTTCACTTTCTGTCTATGGTACTATTTTGGTTTCCTAATTGGCTTTGTTTCCTGTATTAAACGAAAACATGCCTGGTTGCATCTGCCCGTGGTGTCTCGATGAAATAATGTTTAATGTGTAGTTGCACTGTTACCCTAAACAATATCCTACAATATCAATCCGAAGATTGAAGGTCCCCATCATCCCTATTTTTCCTTTTGAACCTTTTGCTCATGAAAGCTGGCATTTTTTTTCAGCTATTGATGGTAAACAGCACAGGGTGGAACCAATCCATAAAAATGTTGTCCCCCACCTCTGACTTTTTGAGAGTCACTACAAGACACAAATGCAGTAATCAAATACCCCTCAACCCCGACTACATATTCCAATGCTGTGCCCACATTGACATTCACCATCGTGGCGACTATTAGTTTGTGTTCCATCATATACTAGTGGTGATCATGTGGTCAAGATTTGGCCTTGTACCTGCATGGAGGCGCTTGTATTGCGGCCTTGAGAGTACACAGGGCCCATATAGACCCAGGCAGCCATCTAATGGTCTGTCCTGGCAGCCTCAGCCTGAATCAAAGACCTTATTTACAGCCAGGGGAAGAGAAGACGAGTAGAGGCTGAGGTGGTAAATATGTGCTTCATTTCTTGGTGTTTGCTTTGGATGGCAACACAGATAAAACCATAGTAAAAAAAAGTAAATAAGTTGCGTGTATATAATACTCAGTCGACCCACCGCAAAAGTTAGGAGGCCTCAGTGACCCCAAAGTATGGCTTATCAGACACCTACTCACACCGGTGGTTTTACCCAAGCGAAAGTACACTTTCTAGACCTTTGATTGAACTCTTTTCCAGAATACTCTATTTTTAAGACAAATAACATCACAAGGATGCCGCAAGGATAGAGTTGAGAGGGTCGGCAATACAGGTAGATAATTTGAAAATGTTATTTATTTATGTATGTATGGATGGATGGATTGATGTACTGTAAGTGTATTGAATGTTTGCTATATCACCAATCACTGATTTTAAAGTTTCAAGTCTGGAGAGAGCATTACCGTATTTTCTGCACTATAAGGCGCTTCGGATTATAAAGCGCACCTTCACTACAATAGTGGCTGCAGTTGCACTATGCATCCATTAGATGGTGGTAAACTAAAGGGAATACAACACAATACAGCTTTATTATAAAGAGCCTTCACAACCAGCAAAGCCACAAGAACTGGTAACAAACACGGATATGAAACATAAATATAAGCATTACAAAACAATAAATAAAAGACAAAAATTATGAAGACAACTGATTCAACAAAAAGGGACACACACACCTCGTGGGCTCACATCGACAACGGGCTCAATATCGTTAGAAGGCTTGCTTGTCTACGTCTTCCTTCGTTTAGTCAATAGTTAACTATGCTTTTGGTATTATCTTCTTTTCATCATGGCTGCGCAGAGCTCATAAAGTAGTTGTCTGTTTGAATATGTGTTGGCTAATGCAGTGTTTTTCAAACTTTTGTGAGCCAAGGCACACTTCTTTCATTGAAAAAAATTTCGCGGCACACCACTAGCTGAAAATGTGAACCCCCCCCCCCCGTTTATTTTAAC